GTGGGCGGCTGCAGGATGGACCCCCAAAGCAGGCAGCTCACCCCTCCCCTCCTGGTGCCTCCTCCCCAGTCCTTAAGGGGAGCCTGGGGCAGAGCCCTGGGAGGGAGGAGGGGACCAGGCCCACCTGTCACTCTGAGGCAGGTGTGCATGCTCACAGAATGCTGTTCCATGACTTGCGGGCACACGACTCTGCCAACTTGATGAAAGGTGTTGGTGTGGGGAGGGTCCCAGAGTGTGGGTGTCGGAAGGACATTTAGCAAGCATCCCACCCAGCCTCCCTGTGTCACAACTGAGGAAGCTGAGCTCAGGGAGACAGGGAGCCCGGATGGGGACGCAGGCCGCAGCTCTCGTTCCACCCTGGCCTCCCAGGGCCGCCTCCGAAGGAAGACCAAAAAGACTGAGACTGACAGGAGTGGCCTTCCAAAGCCTCCCCGGCTGTGGGGCTGCTGCAGGCCACAGCCGCCTTCCCAGGCATTCCTGGGCCCCACCCAGCCCCTGGGGAGACTCCCAGGGCCTGTGACCCAGGGCAACTAGCTTTCCTGAAACCAGACCCAGACGCTTCCCACAGCCCTGGAGACATGCTCACTGGCATCCCTGAATCCCACGTGGTGATGCTGCTGCTGGCTGCTCACCGCCTCGGCATGTGTCCTGTCTCCTCGGCTAGACCGTGAGCTCCTCAGGGCTGCTGTCCCTCCCAGCTGCTCGACGGGCAGTTGACAGGGTGTCACAGGACGCCAGGACACGAGTGCCGGGGCAGCCCCTGGGTTGAGGTCCCCGTGCCACCTCCCAGCAAAAGCCACACCCCCCGCCCTCCGGCAGTGGGTACTGGCCACATCCCTGCCATTGGCCCACTGGTCCTGGCCATAGACCCGGGGATTTCGCCGGCTTTGTGCTGGGTATTCTGTCCCATGGGTCTTGTTGACAGGAGGGTGCTGGGACAGGGTAGGGGTGCAGGTAGCGGGAGGCTCTGGGAGCAGTGCAAGTGGGGGAGGGGCAGAGGACATTCGCAGACCTCCAGCCAACAGGGACTTCTACGCTTTCTAAAGGAGGTTGGGCTGGGGTTGGAATCTGGCAGGTTTTCCCATTCAGCCCTGGCAGCTGCTTCTGTCATCCCATCTCTGCTCCCTCTGGGGTTCAGAAAAACTGTGGGGTGGTGCAGAAAGACGCTGTATGGTGCCACTTGGAAGCGCCAGGTCTCCCAGCAGCCCGGTCCCTAAACCCCAAGAGGTTCCCAGGAGAGAGCATGGATGTGCCGACAGACAGCACTGACCCTCACGATGTCCAGAAGAGGTAGAGGGGCCGGGAACGGGGGTGCACTGTTGTTTTTCCCCACTCAAAGGAGAAGGAAACTGAGGCACAGAGAGAGAAAGGGACTTGCCCAAGATTATCAAAGAGTCAGAGAAAGAACCGGAGGCTAGGGACACAGGGCCTCTCTGGCTCAGCCAGTGTGGTCTCAGGGACTATGTCAGGGCTGGAGACGCCCAGAGGATGTCCACGGCCCCCCCAAAGTCCATAGATCATGGTCCAGCCCTGAGTGCCGCCCAGAGCACTGTGGCCGAGACCAGGTACCCACCACCCGCGCCGTCTCTTCTGCACCGCCTGGCTAATTTTTTGCATAGGAAGGCAGTGACTGCATTGCCCTGTGGCAGGCAAGAGCACAGCCCCTGGAAGGAGCTGGAGTGAGCCAGGGGCTTCTGGATTCTGGAGACACGGAGGCAGCTAGGCCAAGGGTCCAGCCCTCCTGGCTCCAGGTGGAATTTGGGGGGAGCCCTAATGGGATGGGGGAGCCCTCTCCAGACGCACACCCCACCACCTGCCAGAGCTCACCACCTGGCTGAACCCCCGCAGCCTCTTCCCGATGCTCCCTTGACGCCCCCACACTCCGTGCACTGTAAACATGAGAACAACAAAAGCCAAAGAAGAAACAAAAACAAACACGACCCTCCCCGCCCCCCGCCTCCCCACTGGGTGAAAAAAATCCTCCTTTTTTTCACCGTAAACACGATTTGGCTTTCTCCCCCCACCTTTGCTTCCTTTCTCCTTTTCTCTCCTCAAGACGGGAAGGTCGGGGCTGTGGCTGGTCGGTTCGGTCAGGCACCAAAACAAGAGACTCGATGAGGAATATTTGGTGCGAATTCATAATAGCGACAAAGTCCACCACGATGACCAGAGCACCACACACGACATTTCTTAAGCTAACATGCTCCGGCGGCCATCCACAGCAGAAGTGAGAGACCCCAACACGCTCCTACGTGGGCGAGAGGTATGTACACGGGCCTCGGGGACAGGGCGCGGGGCCGGCCACTGGGATCCTGCCGGGGTCTCAGCAGCCCGGGCCCCTCCCGGCACGGCTGGCTCCCTCCCTCGCACCCCGCCAGACAGCGCCGCTCGGATGGGGGCCCTCCCCCCACCCCACCCCCTCGACGCGGACACCACTGATGGCTCTTTCCACAAAATGTGCTTGCGGGCGTCTCTCTACGTCATGGCTCAGAAGGCAAAGTGTGGCTGCAAGGGCGCTGGCCGTGGGGGGACCTGGCGAAGGACGTGGGGCGTCCGCTGGTTTGGGCCCCTCAGCTGTCGG